GATTCTTGGACTTTCAGACTTAGATTCAGTTATACCACCAGCTTAACAGCTTTTCTGGTTCTCCAGAATGCAGATAGAAGACTGTGGCACTTCTTGGTTTCCAAAATTGAGTGAGCCAATTACTATAATAAAAATATATCTATACCTTATTGGTTTTGCTTTTCTGGAGAACCCAGACTAATACAACATACTAGATACTCTATTTGTATCATCTTCTTGAGGAAGTAGCTCTCACAGCCTGTCACCTGCTCAGACTGGGTAGTCCCTGTGTCTGTTGCATAGCTATCATCCTGGAAGTTTCCCTTTGCCTTTATACTCCTGCATGAGTTTGTAAAACAAAATACCTTTTGTCTGTGTTCATACATTCCTGATCTCTCTCTCTCTTTTTATAAGGACACTAGACATTTGGATTAGACCCTCACCCTTATAACCTCATTTAACCATCATTACCTCCTTCAAGACCCTATCTCCAAATCCAGTCACACTGGGGGTTAAAGCTTTAATACATAAATTTTGAGGTGCCACAATTTAGTCCATATCTAATATGGTTTCACTATGTCCCCACCCAAATCTCATCTTGAACTCTAGTTCCCATAATCCCTACGTGTCATGGGAGGGACCTGGTGGGAGGTAATTGAAACACAGGGGCAGTTACCTCCATGCTGTTCTCATGATAATGAGTGAACTCATCTGCCTGAATTCACTCTGCACTTCTCCTTGATGCTGTCATATGAAGAAGGGCATGTTTGCTTCCCCTTCTGCCATGATTGTGAATTTACTGAAGCCTCCCCAGCCCTAAGGCATTGTGAGTCAATTTAACCTCTTTCCTTTGTACATCACCCAGTCTCAGGTATATCTTTATTAGCAGCATGAGAACAGAGTAATAAAATATCACTCAGTGATTTTCTTTGTCAATTTCTTCTCCTAAATTTCTTTTTTTCCTGGACCCTAGATCTTTATTTTCCTTGATTATATCATTGTTTTAGTAAAATTTATCCTCCAGTACTATCCAAAGAGAGGAAAATTTTTGAGACCTCATATATCTGAAAAACATCTTTTTCCCATTCTCACACTTAATGGTTTGATGGCTGAATTGTTGGTACAAATGTTGAGGAGTAATTTCCCCTCTCCACCCAAGTTTGAATTAAGCTAATTTTTTTGTTCTCTCTTTCTGCAGGTCAGGTTTGTCTCTAGTTCTTGCGCAGGGTATGAAGTCCTTGCATACCAGCTTTTTGTGACCATCTCTATTTATACTTCTCATGTTTGGTGCATCTTAGACTTTATCTCCTTTCTCCCTTGTTCCACAAGCCATTAAAATAAAAGCTAAGAAGGACTGAACTTGGCAGACACTCCCAGTACAAAAGCCTGCATCACTACTCACTTATGCCTCTGAATTACCCCTCCCTCTTTGTTTTTGGAACACCTAACCTCTGCTAGATTAACAATGCATTAAAAAGTACACTTTTTATTCCTACATGTAATCCAACAATCATAATTGCTTGGAGGATGACTCTGAGTATGCAGTCCACCTGGCAACAGTAGTCATCATAAAGGACACCATGCTTTTAGGATGTGGGCATAATTGCAATGGGAGAAAATTTCTAATGGACAAATGAGTTATTAATATCATTCATCTAGTAAGATTTACATTAAAAGTAATAACAAATACTGGTCTTTATATGATTTTTATCCAATTTCAGTTATAATTGTTAGTTATCAATTTGAAGTTTAGTTTTTTGTAGAAACAATGTTGTTTAGTTCTGCTTTGTCTAGCTAGTACATGTGGAGAATGAGTGACTCCACCTCAGTACATGTTCCTGCTAAGTGACATTGACCTGTTAAAATTGTCAAACCTTGTTTCAGTTATGTTAGTTGTACTACTTTCCAAAGTGTATAAATTATGTTTTGCACTTCTTAGTCTTGACAAATGAAGTAGTTTGGTCATCAGTTGACTTTTTCTTCATCACTCTGTGTAATTATTACTAAGAGCAGCATGGGCCAATGGCAGAATCTTAGACTTCTAAGATCTGAATACAAATTTTAGCACTGTTACTTACTAACGGTGTGATCTTATTCAAGTTACTTGTAAGTAATGTGGTGAAGCCGGCTTGTGCTGGCTCACGAGAGCCTATTGAGTTTGTGTGAGCTGATTCTTTAACACGGACTTTATTAAAAATTATTCATATAAGCTTATAGGTAAATAATGTATATCAAAAACAAAGTTAGTAAATACTTAAAATCATTAGTTAACTAATTACCAAATTTCACTGTTTCTATGGTCTTGAGGTAATTTAGATCTCTTGTATCTGAACAGGAGAAACACTGTAATATGGCATGCTGCTACTGCTCATCTTTTCCCAGCTCTGCCTTTAGTGATATCATGGTTGCAGAAATTGGCTGGTACTAGAAGTCATTATTTGATTTATTGTTTTGTTAGTTGTCTAGACCTTAAAAAGTGATAGGAAACATGTTAATTAGTGATAGGAAACATGTTAATAATACAGATTCAACTTAAAAGTAAGTTATGTTTGTGGCTGTGGCGTTGTGAGTAGCACCAAAAATTGAGGAGAGCTTCCAGTGTTTGAAAACTATTACCTGATTCAGCAGAGAAGTAGCTCATGTCACTGGTTAAAAGTGAAGTTTTGGTACATCTTTTGTGTTCTTTTCCTTCTGCCTGTGAATATAAGAAAAAATATTAACCAAAAGTCATGTGATAACTACACACATTTGTCAAATTACAACTGTAGGTTGGCTACTGATATGGTTTGGCTCTGTGTGCCCCCAAATCTCATCTTGAATTGTAATCCCCATTTGTTGAGGGAGGGACCTGTAATCCCCACACATCAAGGAAGGGAGGTGATTGGATCATGGGAGTGGTTTCCCCCATTGTTCTCATGATAGTGAATGAGTTCTCACGAAATCTGATTGATTTATAAGTGTTTGAAAGGAAGCACTCCTCCTTCACTATTTCTCTTTATTTTGCCACCTTGTGAAGAAAGTACCTGCTTCTTCTTCCCCCATGATTGCAAATTTCCTGAGGCCTCCCCTGCCATGCAGAACTGTGAGTGAATTAAACCTCCTTTGTTTATAAATTACCCAGTCTCGGGTAGTATCTTTATAGCAGTGTGAGAACGGGCTAACACAACTACCAATATGACTTTGCCAAAAACCTAAAAGGGCATTCTATGAGAATCAGTTGGTTACATGGAGCTCATAGAAAAGAGAATTGCATAGTTTATTATTTGTAAATTGTGTATTATGCACGCTTTATATCAGCAAAATTGATAATAAACATATATACATATAGGTCCATGCTTATTTTTTAACAGTGAGTTAAATATATACCAATACACCCCTGCTTAAGCTGACATTAAGCTTTTTCATTTATTAAATGAATCATCCAAAACTATGAGCCTCATACTTCAAAAATTTTAGTTTTGCGTTTGTTCCTATTTCATTCTATGAATACCACTCTTCTTTTATCTCCATTCCTTCTAAACGCCCTATGTAGACATAACTTGAGAGTCACTGGAATGTGTAAAACTATTTGCTTCTATAATTACATGGCTCCAAAGTAAAATACTTTCGAATATTCGTAGCTTTTTTTTGTATAGGTATTTAGTATTCAACTTTGATATCAATGATCACTTTTGCTTTTGTCAGAGCTCCTTCTTTTAGCAGCCTCTTCTGTATCCTCATGGGGCCGTCCATGATTTCTTATCACTCCTGCTGTCCTGAGGTTGGAACTGGAGACTATACCGTATCCTTTTAGATCTGTGCACAAAATATGAGTATGTAGATGCTCAATGAGGACCTGGAGGACCTTCCTGTAATTGTTTTCATCTACTTTACTCTAGCTGTGACCTCTTTTCTTACATAATAATTATAAGATATTATACATTAGGCTTATAAAAAGGGATTGCGATATTATACATTAGGCTTATAAAAAGGGATTGAGAAAAATGTAGTAAACAGCCCAGCATATACCTTCTACCTTTTTTAATGAATGAAACATAAGAGATACATTTGGGGGCCCTGTAGACCCCTCTCTGGTTCCACTTCCTTCTCTTTTCCTCAAAGGTGATCACTCACCTGAATGGATCATTCCCAGGCATGTGATACTTCTACCTCACGTGTATATGCTCAGAACATACACGGATTGTTATACATAGTTTTAAATACATAAAACATGATAAACACACTGGATATGTTCTTTTTATTAAATTAATGGACTTTATATTTTAGATCAGTTTTAGGGTTACAGGAAAGTTGAGCAGAAAGAGACCTCCTCTGACTCCAGCCCACACTTGGATCCATGCCCTTCCCTGGTTTCTGAAAAAGAAAGGGCCTTTACATTGGCTGTTATGTAAGTTCCCCAAACAGGAGACACGACATAGTTCACTCTGGTATTCCCTGGACTTGGTGTCCTGCCTGACACATAGCATTTGCTGAATCAAGGGCGGTATGAATGAATGAATTTCAGATAGCAATATCATATCAACAATGGTGGAAACCAGGGCTCCCTCCCCTCCAGAGATGGACTGGACCATCACAGCCTCCATTGTCAGAGAATAGGAGAATAGGGTTTAAATATCAAGGGCCATACATAAAGTCTCGAGATCCTGTCATGTATAAGGACAAGGCGTGTCAGTCATGGCCGGGGGGAATGTTTGCAAGGAGGAGATGTTTCAACTCAGATATTTATAAGCCGGGGCCTGCCTCTGTTTACCAGCTGGGAGATCTTCAGATAATGAACCATGAAAGCCTGCTATGCAGCGGTGCTATGCAATAATTTTTCATTTGCCACCAGTCAGCTTCAGGGATCAAGGACAGCTAAACACATAACCCGCTCATGCATGTTATTTTAAAGGCGTATTTTAAAGTTGTAAATATGGTACATTGAGTTAATGAGGTATGTTCTTTTGGTGACAAATATTTACATTCCACATATGCCTCTTGATGTCAAGAGTGTAACTGTTTCATTTTCTTCTTTTTCTCAGGAGGCTGGGATGCAGATGGAAAAGGCCCTTGTGTCTGGGACACATTTACTCATCAGGGAGGAGAGAGAGTTTTCAAGAACCAGACTGGCGATGTAGCTTGTGGCAGCTACACTCTGTGGGAGGAAGATTTGAAATGTATCAAACAGCTTGGATTGACTCATTACCGCTTCTCTCTTTCCTGGTCACGTCTGTTACCTGATGGGACGACAGGTTTCATCAACCAGAAAGGCAAGTGTTTCTTAAAAATAGAAGGTTGCAGCTTTAATTCAAGGTTATTGCTGCAGTCTGGCATAATTAATCCAGTATGCTATTCTGCAATGTAGCTTTGAAATTGCAAGTTTTTAGAGTGATTATGGGATGAATTTTTTGAAATGGGTTTGCATTAGTTTTCACAGTAATATTTTGGTTTCCTTTGACTGTTGAGATCTTTTCTGGGGGTGGTGAGTGGGAGGGAGGTTAGACTAAGTGTTTTATTATATAACATGAGTGTTAATCTGAAGATAAATTTAAAAAATTTGTATTAAACTATTTTCAGTTGTGTAACCCTGTGATGAGTTATGAAAAGTCCTTAAGAACTTGAGATGATTCTAAGCACCTCAATTAGGGCTGAATTAGTGGAGCTAATTAACTAGCATAGGGATTAGCATCAAGGCCCCTGCAGTTCACTTACTTAAGGTTAAGTCCAGCTACATCACTTGCTATCTGGGCAAACATCTCTTGGGTTCCGTTCAGTGCCTCAGTTTCTCCATGAATAGAAAAGAATGCTGTAATAGTGACTAATTCAGAGAGTTATTGGAAGGTTAAATGAAATAATCTTAGTAAAGTGCTTAACGCAGTTGCTAACATTTAGTAAGTGTTAGCTATTCTTCTTCTTATGGCTTGTGAATAAAAGTACCACTCATTGCTCTATTGAATGCCTGTTATTTAGGAGGCATTTTTCAACCATTTTCTTTAATTCTCACCACCAGTAGGGAAGGCATAGTGATCATATTTTACAGAGGTGTATGTCCAAACCCACATATTTGGCAAATGGTAGATCTGTTATTTAAACCTAAGGTCTAGCAAGCTCTTTCTACAAAGCATGGTTGGAAAACAATGACCTGAAGGCCAAATGTGGCCTGTCACCTATTTTTGTTAATAAAATTTGATTGAAACATAGTCATGCCTGTTCATTATGCATCATCTATGGTTACTTTTCCACTTTAATGGCAGAACTGAGTAGTTGGGGCAGAGACCATATGGCCTGCAAAGCCTCAAATATTTGCTATCTGGTCCTTTACAGGAAAAGTTTGCCAACCCTTGCACTACAACATATGGTTTCTTAATGAAGATGCTTTATTACTACTTTGTCTTAGAAAAGATTTTACACTGTCCATAGGACTGGGACTAAGTGAAGCAATGAGGTGCCTAGGGCATAAAATTTAAGGAGAGCCTCTTAAATTTAAGGAGAGGCCTCACTTGTATGACTTAAGAGAACACCTGCCCGCCTCACCATACCTCCCACCCCAAGAACCTTCATTGATACAAAGGCATTATTCATGAGTAACTTATGTGATCCCCTATATAGAACAACCCTTGATGACAATTCCTAGATGGATTTGTGCACTTGAAAAGCTCATTTTATTTAAGGCGGGGTAATCTTTGCATCATGAAATAGAATTGCAACTCATGCACTCAGGTAGAATCAACCTCAGAGTAGCTTCCCTCATGTAGGGACAGTGCAGGATTAGCAGGTCCTTTCATTCCCTGATTCTGCAGACATTGGCCCATGACCAGTTGCTCCTGTTGAGATGTCTACTTTCTTGCCATCACTGACTAGTTTTATTTATGTTGAATGGGAGGTAATTTGTTGTTCAGTTTAAAAGTGAACTCATTATCTTCAATCTTCCTAATCCAACATCTGTATTCTCCCTTCTTTCTGGCACCACCATACTCCAAAGTCTAAAAAACAAAAGTAACCTTTGAATCCTTTCTTGTGTTTTCTTCTTCCATCTAATGGGTTGCTGAATATGGTCCATTCTAATAATGACTTTTTAACTTATCTTCTAATCCCTCTTTTTGCCCCTGCCCTAGTTTAGGTGTTTATCATTCTTACAAGGACTTTTTGATATATTCTTGATGAATCTATGTGTTTTCCCCTTCTCTCTGTCCTTTACTTTCTATAAGATGCCATCATAGCAATTTTCCTAAAGCTCGACCCAAATCACATTGTTTTGATCATCTCCTGCTAAAAGTGAAGCAAGATGCACAGTGGCTCATGCCTGTAACCCCAGCACTTTGGGAGGCTGCGGCAGGTGGATCACCTGAGGTTGGGAGTTTGAGAACAGCCTGACCAACATGGAGAAACCCCATCTCTACTAAGAATACAAAATTAGCTGGGTGTGGTGGTACGTGCCTGTAATCCCAGCTATTTGGGAGGCTGAACCCGGAAGGCGGAGGTTGCCATGAGCCAAGATCACACCATTGCACTCCAGCCTGGGTAATAAGAGTGAAACTCGGTCTCAAATAATAATAATAATTTAGTTACCTAAAGCCTCAATATGCAGTCCATACTCCTTCATATATCATTCTAGGCTCAATTTGACTTAGACTTAACACCTCCAAAACTTTGCAGGCTGAAATTATCTCATGCGTATGATCATGTAATATCCCAAACACACCTTGGTACAGGTCTATAATCTTTTATCTGTAAGTATAAGTAACCCACTACTTATTAAACATACCATGCAGTTTTCCACCTTGTAGGAAGTTGCTTAAGCTTTTTCTTCTGCCTAGAATGGGCTTTCTTTAACCCCAAGTATACCTACTGAAGGCCTGTCCTGCTGTTCAGGTCTAGCACAATTGCCCTCTTCTTTAAAGTAGTTCTCTATTCTAAGCCAGAAAAAAAATATCTCTCTCCTCTCTCTCTTTTTTTATTCTCATAGCACTTTGCAAAGCTCTTAAGATGTTTCTCACATTCTTCATTGTTAACTGTTACTATATCCCATGTTAGACTATCGGTGCCTTAAGTTTAATTCAATTCAATGAAAGTGTGCTGAATGTCTATTGTGTCAGGGACTGTGCTAAGTACTCATGACATTCATATTAGAGAATCCCTGGAATTGTTAACAGTGTAATGGGTAGATAATTCTGCCTTGTTACCCTTGTAATCTAGTCCAGCACCATCCATGGAAGGGATTCAGTAAAAATTACTGAATTGGATTGAATTAGGTCAATAACAATCATAAAAATGACTCGAAGGGTAGTAATGCTTGCCTTTCATTGAGCATATAATATACAGAGCTCACCATGCAAACATTGCACATATTTTTGTTGATTTTAACGTTCATAACAGTCCTATGAATAAGGGGCATCTCTAAACAGAAGGAATAATGCTAACATCGGAAATAAAGTTAGGCATAAATTTGCCAAAATGACAAATTTAGTTAGGTTCAACCTAGGCTTGTCTAACATAAAAAAATCTTCTATCTAGTCTAGGGCTCAGTCAGTCTGGCCAAACCACTTGAATTCTCTGTGCTACAGTTTCTCTGTTGGTTAAATGAAGTGGAAGCCTCATGGTACTAAAACTCCTTGCACTCATTCTAGGAGTTTGGAGTTTTTACTGAGCTTCCAGTTGGATGGTAAACAACCACAACAAAAACCAAAAACCCACCAACTTGTAGTATTGGTCCACAATGCCATATCTGAAGTTCTAAAATCCAAAAGGCTCTTATTACTAATCTTTCTAAAATTAAATTGGCAGCAAAAGCTAACTTGAATTGTTGTGAATATTTATTCTGTTTTTGAGAATATTGATTTATTTGACTGCAGACATATTAAGAGACACTGACTCAGATTCACTGACAGTGTTAATATACGGTATATGCTCCTTGTTTCCTTTCTAAAACTCATTCTGTACTCATATGCCCCTAAGATTTTCAGATACCTGTCCCAATATGTCAACATATTAAGCTTTATATACCTGTCCCAATATGTCAACATATTAAGCTTTGAAAACCAACTTGAGATACTTAGAAGTTCGTAGAGGTACACTGTAGATCAGCAATCCAAGAGCAAGGAAACCGAAACCACCAGAGAGTGGAGGTGGTGCTACCGGAGCCATGGAAACCACCCGAATATTGTGGAAAAATTGCTCATGCAGATCTCATGTGGGGATCACATGCCCGTAGCACTGAGCTTTTTGTGTTTGGCCCTAGCTTTGGTAAAACCATAGCTGATTAATATTACAGGCTTTGCTTTGAACAAGAGGGCACTGGAGGTGCATCCAGGAGGTGGCATTTCAATAAGCAGTTGCTCATTCTTGTGCAGTGATCTGTTGAAGCAGTTGGAATGGTTTTAACTTGGAAAGGCTATCTCTTTTTTCTCATTTAAATATTTTCTCAAAAAGCATGTGAAGAATTAGAAAGTCCCTGTCACTGTTCTTCCCAAGGAACCCCCTTTCTGTGTTTGACTATACATTTCAAATCTTGATTATAGGACATTTGGAAACGTAAAATTCTATGTCCCCAAACTAGAAGAATATTTTTATGAAGTGGAATTGTTACACAGACTGTCTCTTTCAAATGTCAGTTTTTCAAGGTTTAACAAGAAAAGATTGAGTTGGCAACTGAAATAATATATTCCTGCATTTCTCAAATGTTCAAGTACATGTTCATATCTGCCACAAATGTAAATTTCAGGCGATTAGTGGGAAGACCAAGTATTGGAAATAAAAAAAGGGGGAATATTTGTGCAGAATTTAGTGCTCACTTTAAGATTTAAACTATGAGTGCTCTTAGCAGGAATGGTTTAAATAAATTAACTAAACAAGCATTAATCTTGTATTCTATGTTGAGCACTATAATAGACTGAAAATGGCCCTCCAAAGGTGTTCATGCTCTGATTCTTAGGAATTTTGAGTATATTAGCTTGCATGGTAAAACAAACTTTACAGATGTGATTAAGGGAAGGATTTTGAGAGGCGGAGATTGTCCTGGACTATCTGTGTGGTCCCAGTATAATTACATGGGTCCTTAAAAGAGAGAGGCAGAAAGATCAGAGTCAGAGAGAAGAGGAACAAGAGATAATGATTACAGCAGAGGTCAAAGAGAAGAGATGAGGATGAAGATGGGAGAAGAAGCCATGAGAGAAGGAATGCAGGTGTCCTCTAACTCCCGGAAAAGGTAGAAAGATGGATTCCACCTGAGAGCCTCCAAAAATAATGTAACCTTGCTGACATCTTGACTTTA